GTGAAACTCATCCAGGTTTGCTAAGTGATATTTATTAACATCAGGCTCCTACTCTCTCCATAGGCTGGGACAGGGCACTATCATCAGGTGTTGGCTGGAACAGTCAGTTATTGTGGCAGCCTTGAGTTTTCTTAGGCAAACACTCACTTCAAGGAGGGCTGAGGTCATGCTAGGGAATGTCCTTGAACTGTTAGAAACTAAGTTAATGTTTGTTCAAGTCTTTATAAGCCAAGTTTGAGGCTTAGTTGAGAAGAGGGCTCAGAGGATCCTGGCTAGAGTTTGTTCAAGGAGGTAATAATCTTTGTTAATGTAAAAACTACAGGTACAGCCTAAGTTCACTATCATTCCCAACCTTGGTTCTTTCATGCTTCTTTGAACCACCCTTACCCCTGTTATTGGGGTAGGTGAGCCTCTTTCCAAATTTTGAGTGCAGTTATACTCACTTGTGTGCACACGTTTATAGGATATGTGTGTGTGTGTGTGTTTTAACAAAACTGTGTTTACTGGTTCCACTGAACAAGACATCTGAAGGTCTTTCCATGTTGGTACCATTCTTTTTGATTCAAGCATAGTGTGGCTTTCCATAGTCATTCTAGTTTCCTATTCAGGGATATCTGGGTTGTTTATGGTGAGCGAGGCAGCAGCTGGCTGACTGGGAAACTAAAGACTCAAAACCTCTAGCTATAAATTTCTATGGGGTTGCAAAGGTGGGAGAAACTCCCAATCTCAGAGATAGTTTGTTGGAGAGGCCCACAGGATCCTAGAATGTACACAAACCCAACGACTTGGGAGTCAGCACTTGAAAGGGCACAGTTTGCTTGTGGGAAGGGAGGGAAGTGATGGAAAGTGGGGCTACAGCAGAGCCAGTGAGTGGCTGGTGTAGCTCAGTGGATTGAGCGTGGGCTGCAAACCAAAGGGTTGCTGGTTTGATTCCCAGTCAGGGAATATGCCTGGGTTGCGGGCCAGGTCCCCAGTAGGGGGTGTGCAAGAGGCAACCACACATTGATCTTTCTCTTCCCTTCTTTCTCCTTTCCTTCCCCTTTCTCTAAAAATAGGTAATTAAATAATTTTTTTTTTAGATTTTATTTATTTATTTTTTAGAGAGGGAAGGGAGGGAGATAGAGAGAGAGAGAGAAACATCAATGTGCGGTTGCTGGGGTTATGGCCTGCAACCCAGGCATGTACCCTGGCTGGGAATTAAACCTGCGACACTTTGGTTCGCAGCCCACACTCAATCCACTGAGCTACACCAGCCAGGGTAATTAAATAAATGTTTAAAATATTGCTCAAAAAACAAATAGAAGATCAAAAATGATGAACAGTAAAATGACAACAAACTCACATCTATTGACAACTGAACTTAAAAAACAAAAGCAAAAACTAAGCAAACAACTAGAACAGGAACACAATCACAGAAATGGAGATCATGTGGAGGGTTATCACTCAGGAGGACTAGAGGGAAAATGGGAGAAAATGTACAGGGAATAAGAAGCATAAATAGTAGGTAGAAAATAGGAGGTTAAGAATAATGTGGGAAATGGAGAAGTCAAAGATCTTATATGTACAACCCATGGACATGAACTAAGGGGGTGGGGAATGCTGGAGAGATGGGGGTGAATGGGAGAAAGGGGAGAAAAAATGGGATGACTCTAATAGCATAATCAATAAAATGTACTTTTAAAAAGAGATCCCTCAGCAGGCAGGCATGAGTCCTGGAGACCTTAAGGTTTACCTGTGAGTGTTAATAATAAAAATAAATATACTTTCTATTACCTACTCTATTTCTCCCACTGGGTAAATTAGTTTACAAACATGAACCCCTCTTTCTATAAATGTCATCAGTCTCATTTTACAAGTGGTAAGAATGAGAGACAAAGGTGTCCTAATGTTGTGAGTTAGTGGCAGAGAAGACTCATGCAACTACAGCATTTGCCAGTGGAAAGTGCCTAGACTACCTGTCCACTCAGGGTCAGCTTCCTTTTTCAAAAAGCATATTTTATTGATTATGCTATTACAGTTGTCCTAATTTTTTCTCCCCTTTATCCCCCCTCCATCCTACACTCACCCCTATCCTCCAACATTTCTTGCCCCCTTCCTTATTCATGTCAATGGGTCATACATATAAATTCTTTGGCTCCTCTATTTCCTATACTATTCTTAACCTCCCTGTCTATTTTATGCCTACCATTTATGCTTCTTATTCCCTGTAAATTTCCCCTCATTCTCCCTCCTCCCCCTCCCTGCTGATAACCCTCCATGTGATCTCCATTTCTATAATTCTGTTCCTATTCTAGTTGTTTGCTTAGTTTTTGGTTTTGCTTTTCAGGTTCAGTTGTTGATAGTTGTGAGTTTGTCATTTTACTGTTCATAGTTTTGATCTATTTCTTAGATAAGTTCCTTTAACATTTTATTTAATAATGGCTTGGTGATGATGAACTCCTTTAACTTTACCTTCTCCAGGAGGCACTTTATCTGTCCTTCCATTCTAAATGATAGTTTTGCTGGATAGGGTAATCTCAGATGTAAGTCCTTTCCTTTCATGACTTTGAATACTTCTTTCCAGCACCTTCTCACCTGCAAGGTCTCTTTTGAGAAATCAGCTGACAGTCTTATGAGCACTCCTTTGTAGGTAAAAGTCTCCTTTCCTGTAGCTGCTTTTAAGATTCTCTCCTTATCTTTGATCTTGGGTAACTTAATTATGATGCACCTTGGTGTGCTCCTCTTTGGGTCCAACTTCTTTGGGACTCTCTGGGCTTTTTTTCTGGGCAGTTTCCTGGACTTCCTGGAAATCTATTTCCTTTGCCAGATTGGGGAAGTTCTCCTTCATTATTTGTTCAAGTAAGCTTTCAGTTTGTTACTCTTTTCCCTCTCCTTCTGACACCCCTATGATTCAGATGTTGGAGTGCTCAAAGTTGTCCCAGAGGTTCCTAAGCCTCTCCTCATTTTTTTTTTTTTGAATTCCTGTTTTCTTCATTCTGTTCCAGTTGGATGTGTATTTCTCCCTGTTGCTCCAAATTGTTGATTTGAGTCCTGATTTCCTTCCCTTCACTGTTGGTTTCCTGTATATTTTCCTTTATTTCACTTCGAGTAGCCTTCATGTCTTCCTCCATTTTGCAACTGAATGCAATCATTTTGTGAGCATCCTGATTACCAGTGTTTTGAACTCTGCATCTGACAGGTTGCCTATCTTCTTGCTGCTTGGTTCTTTTTCTGGTATTTTGATCTAATCTTTCATTTGGGCCATATTCCTTTGTATCAGCACACCTGCTACACTTTAAGGTGTGTAGCCTTAGGTATTATAGTCAGGGTGAGGCAATGCACTTCACTGTGTTGTGGCACTGTCTGTGGGGGAGGGGTCAGAGAGGGAACAATGCTGCTTGCTAACCCAGCTTTCAGTCACTTCCCCCTCTATGCACAAATTAATTGGGCCCCTCTGGTGCTAATTCCCAGGTAGGTGAGTTTGTGTACATTCTAGGACCCTATGGGTCCCTCCAGTGGATGCTCCTGGGACACTGGGAGTTTCTCTCACATCTGCAACCCCCACAGGATTTTATAGCCAGAGGTTTTGAGGATTTTTCTTTTCTTTTCTTTTTTTTTTAACCTCACTGGGACCCTGGTTTTTGTGGTCTGTCTCTCTATCCCCAGTTGTTCCTCCTGGTTTATCCGAACATAAATGTGGGACTGCCTGGTCCACCAGCCACAGTCTTGATGTGTATCCTCTCTACCCTGGCTGCCCATCTCCACCCCTCCTACCAGTCTGAATGAATGTTTCTTCTTTAAATCCTTGGTTGTCAGACTTCCATACAGTTCAATTTTCTTGCAGTTCTGGTTGTTTTTTCTTTTTGTTTGTTTATAAATTGGTTGTTGTCCTTCTTTTGGTTGTTTGAGGAAGCAAAGCATATCTACCTATGCCTCCATCTTGTCCAGAAGTCCTGAGGGATCTCTTTTTGGCAGTATCCTTCTCTGTCCTGTCCTTCAGCTTGTGTGGTCCTCTTTCCTTATCTCTCAGTCTCAATAGAGTCTGAGCTTCAGTCTTTGGTCTTCCCTTTGCTGTTCTTATGCAGCTTTCTCCTCTCTGACCCCTCATCTCCTGGTGCCCAGGATGTGTCCCCACCTCCAGCTCCACTTTGGCTAGGTCCTCCTCTCTTTCTAATGAAGAGGAGAGTCAGCCCAGACAGCACTGAGTCACAGGGGGAGGAGCAGAGCGAGCAGGGACCGGGACTTCCGGGTATCAGGTGGAGGAGGGAGGAGGAAGCAGAGTAATGGAAGGGAGCAAGGAGGAAGGAGTGGGGGTGTCAAGGGCAGAAGGCAGAAGCCTTTCCTGAACCTGTAAGTGACCATCCCAGAGCTGGAAGGACAGACACTCAGACGAGGTTGACGAGGTACTGAAGGTGTCTCCCACCTCCCTTACCATTGAAGAGGCTGCTCTGGGGAGCAGATAATTTTGGCCTTCAGAACCTGAGAGTCCTCAGGCCCAAAGTGCCACTGACTGGGAATAAGCAATAGCACTTCCTGCCTTCTATGTTACACATATGGAAAAATGAATAGTGAACAACCTATGGGGTATTATGATGACAAAATGACCTATAAATAAATTCTGTTGTTCTATTTGCAATGCAGGAACTTCATCCACAGCCACATACCCTTCTAATGCACTCCTCCCCAGGGAAGGAGCAGCCCATGCTGCTCTCAGTCACTACCCACATTCCAAAGGCAAAACCGGGTGGCCACTCAGCACCCCTAAAACTACTTCTCCCACTCCTGGCAGGAGGGAAAACATTACTATGACTCTCAACACCTCTCTACATTTCAAACATATTTCTGAAACATTTCTCAAATCTCCAATCAATTCCAACACCCCAACAACTCCGACATCCAAGTTTGTCATCAAGGTAGAAACCACTCCACCTACTACAATAGTCTGTAGGAGCACTGAAGAGTGCATCAAAACAACCAGACTAGTAGTCACCACCACTCACCCCACCACTACATGCATAACAATGACTCAGGTGGCCTTGCCCAACACTTATACAACAGCTGTGACAGGAAGTAACACACCATCTCTAAACACATCATCAAAAACTGTAGCAAGCACAGTACCTTCGGCTACAATGACATCCTATGAATGCAGCCTAACAGGGACTACCATAGATACACAGCAGACATCCACAAACACAGAACCAGAATAAAAAACTGCAGTCTCTACACAGACAGGCAGGACGACAGACACAACCTCTTATGCCACATCTACCCCGAAGACCACACTTACCCCTACCAGTGACGTTTCCACAGAGACTGTCACAACAGAGAGGACTTCTACTCCCACAGTGACATCCTCAGTCACTCCCACAGAAACAGTCAGTTCTCCCACATCCATCACCTCTACCCCAGGGACCACTAGTATCCTGATGTCCACCAGCAGCGTGCTTCTGTCTTTTAAGCCTGTTTCAGCCACACAGCCAGGGCCCATTTTCAGCATAAACACAACACCCCTGTCCTCCTTGATTACTACACGCTCTACTACTCAGGCCCCACCCACCCATAAATCCCCTCCACTACTGTCACTATGGTCATGACTGAAGTCACCACTTCTGCTGACACTTTGACCCCTGCCACCTCAGTCACAGCAACCTCACTCACTCCTTCCACAGTGGCAGCATCCATGACTGCTCCCACCCTCAGGGACCCAACCTCCACCCCGACTGTGACTCAAGCTACTCCAGGCATCAGTACTTCACAGGGCTCCTCCACGGGAAGCACACCCACAGTCACTGCCCCTACCTCTGGCACCATGCACACATCCACAGCCACTACTCCATCTACTGTCAGAACTGAGATCCCTACCACTGCCTCAACACGGGTCACTTTCACATCCACAGGCACCCTCAGGTCCTTGATCCCCATGACTGAACTCACCTTGACACACCTCATCCAGTAGGCTGGCCACCTGCACCGATACCATCACATCATCCCCCACCACACACAATGCAGCAACAACAGCCAATAGCACCTCAGTCTCTGCCACTACGACTAGAGATGATGCTTTGCTCTCCATAACTTTGGGTACATTTTCAAGTGTGTCTTTCATGCCCCTTCTTCCTTCAGTGAGTACATCTACAAATGCAGTAATCAGTTCTTTTAGTACCATTATCTCTTCTTCAACATCTGAAATAACAAGTCTGTCTTCTGTCTCTTCCACCAGTGCTAGTTCAATGCTCTCTGCTGTCTCCACAAATTCTCCCCATTCCTCACAAACCGTCACTGCAGGTACACGTTCTTCTGTCACTGCTTCTCCTACTTCATGTGAAGCTACAAAAACTTCTTCGATCATATCTTCTCCAATAGCCTCTTCTATTGAAACTACTCCGACTGTTTTGATTTCTCCCACCACTCCATATCCAGAATATACATCCGTTACAATAGTGCCTACTTCTCCCACCACTCTATGCATAGAAATTGATCCAAACAGTAAAGTTACTTTTACTCCCACTATCCCATTACCGGTCTTTACCTCTACTGCTGAGACGGCCACCACCCCTTCTAGTTCCACCAGTATGACAGCAGTATTTCCTACACATACGGACACTTCTACTTCAGATTTGGAAACTGATCCCACCAACATCATAACTGACGTCCCTAATTCTCTCAGTCCTGGGACCATTCCCATTAGTACAGTTTCAATGAGAACACGAAGACCCACTAGTGGTACCTGGATGAGCTCCTACTCTGTAACCACCCCACCTGTGTCCAGCTTTACCAGACTCCCACTGACCATGAGGCAAAGCAGCAGTTTTCCAACTGTCATGATGATGTTGAGCAAGTCGACACACCCCAGTACAACCACGACCAGAACTCCAGAGATATCAGTGGTCACCACTCAGACTCCCACCACTTTTACATCACCCAGGACAACTTTGACCACTACTCAGATGACCACATCATCTCGACTGACCACCACCCCAGGTTGGACCTCCTTTCCCCCCTACTAAATTCCCATGTATTCAATGTCTGGTTCTATCCTGAAATTCCCTTTCCTCCTGTGCTACCCAGGCACCTGTGACAGTGGTGGCACCTGGATGCAAGGCCATTGCCTTTGTCACTTGGGGTTCTCTGGGGACCACTATGAGCTCCAGGAGATCAGATGCCAGAACGGAGGTCAATGTGATGGCCTCAAGTGCCACAGCCACAGTACCTTCCATGGCTCCCAGTGCGAGTTTGCTGTGGAACAGGTGGAACTGAGTGAGTGGCCAGAGTCCTGCCCTATGCACTTTCTCCTGGAAGGTGCCCCTGACTCTCCCTGGGCCCAGCCCTGTGGTTGACCTGGAGCCATGGATACCTTCATCCCTGCCTTATCTCCCAAGCCTTCTCCCATCCCATCTCATGCCTCTTCTCTTTCCTCACCTCCAGAAGGTGGCTGACACCACAGTCCCTCTGGGACCTCTCCCCAGTCTGAACTGCTCAGAGCTATTAGTTTCTAATTGCTGTTGTAGGAAACTTCCATAAATTTCGTGGCTGAAACAGTATAAATGTCTTATTTTACAGTTCTGTAGATTAAAAACCCAATGTGGGCCTTGCTGCACTAAAATTAAGGTTCCAGCAGGGCTTTGTTCCTTTTAAAAGGATCTATTTATTCACCCTTTCTAGATTCTGGATCCTTCTACATTGATTGTCTCAAGACCCCCTCTGTCCATATTCAAAACCAGCAACATCGCGTCTATGACTTTCTTCCACCCTCACATCTTCCTCTGACCAGTTCTGACTTTCCCTGCTCCCTCTTCCACTATTAAGGACCTTGTGCTTATATCGGGCCCACCTGAATAATTTATGTTGATTTTCACATATTAAAGTCTAAATTCAACTGATTAGTAATCTTAATTACACCTGTAACTTTGATTCCTCCTTGCCATGTAATATAACATATTCACAGGTTCTGGGAATTAGGACATAAGCATCTTTGGGGACCATTATTGTCTCCCACTGGGGCAGACAAGGGAGAGACTGAGACCACAGGTCTGACTTTGGTGCATCCCAACTTCTTTCTTTCCCCCATCTCAGGACAACTTATCCCGCAATTCCTATGTCTCTCCCTCCTGTTATTCGGTTAGTCCTCAGAGAATATGGGGAGGGGCATGGCAAGAACCCCTGGGTTGGGGTGGTGGTGGTGATGTTGGATAGGAGTAGATGATGATTAGAACAGAGCGTGTTGTGTTCAGAAATGGTAGATGCTGAAGTGAGCATGGAGGTGTCTGTTCAACAGACATTCACCCCGTGCCTCAGTGACAACACTTCTGAGGCCTACATGGATTTCAGCAACACCTTCAAGAATCAGGTGAGGAGAAAGGGGAAGAGACTCAAAGGTCCTCACCTGGAGCTGAGCTTGGGCTCCTTAGGTCTGGAGGTTTAGACATGAGCCCAGGGATCCTTGGCATTTCAGATGAAGAATGTTTACCGAAACATGCAGGGGTTCAAGGATGTGGAGATCCTGTCCCTGAGGTAAGAGACTCTTCTGGGGTCACAGAGATAGTGTTAGGTGGGGGAAGTGGGTGCGAAGAAAGGCTGGAGAAGACATCCCTTGGTTTTGGAAATCATAAGATTTCATAAAGAGAGGGATGAAGAGGGTATGCAAGGAAATCACTCCACGGTGGACATTTTTTAAATCCCTACCCAAGGATATATTTATTAATTTTAGAGAGGGAGGGATGGGGGGAGAGAGGCAACAAGATAGATAGATAAAGAGAGAGAGAAACAACAGTGTGAGAGAGAAACATGGATTGGTTGCCTCCAGTGGGTGCCCTGACCAGGGATCAAACCCACAACATTTTGGTGTATGGGACTATGCTCCAACCAACTGAGCCACCTGACCAGGACCATGGGGGACTTTAGAGATCATTTTCTGGGGTAATTTCTCTGTAGGAGTAAAGCCACCATTACCTTTTTAAGTGCATTTTAAGTAGAGGGATTGCATGGGACATGCAGTGAGGTGGTGCATGTGGGCTGGTGGGAAGCCTGGTGTCTGGACTGTAGCTAGTCTGTCTTTGGCTGGCATCTGGTCTGCTGGGTGGGTCAGTATGAGTGAGGCAGAGAGTCCAGGATGGCCTGGTTTGGTAACAGCTTGAAGCAATGCAAAAGAATGGCAATCATTCCTTGTCCTGCCTTCCCAAACTGACCAACTCAGGGATGCTGGCAGCTCCTTCTGAACATAATGTCTGAAATCCCAGCTCATTGTCTCTGGCCCCCTTCTTCCCAATATGTGCACCCATGGTTGGTCCTGGAGGTGTCCTTCTCAGAATCTATGTGTCCCAGGCCTGGACACCTTTAATGGCCCCTGATCCCCTCGACTCCCTCAGGAATGGAAGTATCGTGGTAGACTATTTGGTTCTGTTGGAGTTGCCCTTCAGTGTCCAGCTGGAGAATGAGTATGAGAAGGTGAAGACAGCCCTGAAGGAGGAACTCCAGAATGCCAGCAAGAACAGCTGTCCGAATAACCAGAGTGAGTTGAGGCTGTGGGCCTTGGGCTGCAAGGAGGGGTCAGCATCCCAATTGCCATCCCAGCCTGTCCTAGTTCAGACAGGGGTCTCCTGGGTTCAGGTGCCAACCTCATGATATCTCCAGCAGATTTTGAGAGGGGACACAGGTCCTCAGCTAACTGGGTCAAGAATGGGACTAAGGAGGAACTTGACAGAACCTGGGTTCTGGGGAAGAGACCAATGACAGTTCCCAAGGTTTCCAGGATTGCTGAGGATTCCTGATTAGTCGTGGATATGATGAGGGAGGCCAAAGGAGCCTTCCCTTGCAGCCTATCCACACGTTCCCCTTACTGACAGAGCCCTTGCTGCCATTCCCTGTGCTTGCCCTGCTTCCGTGCCCATGAACCCTTGACCTTTCCCACCCAATGCCACCTGTGCCTGTGTCCCCCCAGCCCTGTGTTTTAAGCATGACTCCATCAAGGTGAACAACAACACGACGGAGCTGACCCCGGAAGGTGAGGGAAGGGCAAAGGGCTGAGTGGTCTCTGGAGGCCATGACTCCTCTCATCAGGAACATCTGCCCATTGGAATTCCCTGGGGATGATGGAGAGACCTTCTAGGGAGGCATGTGAGGTGGCCCTCCAGTACTGCCCTTCCTGGGCAGCAAGGAAGGTGAGGAGAGGGTGCGGATCCTGGGGCCCTGGCCTGCCCTCCCCTCATGTAATCCCAGGGTCTACCCCACGACACCCCACTCTTGGAAATGTAGTCCTGACATCCATTTTCAGCATCATTATAACCAGGGCCCTGAGTTGAGTGGATGAGGTCACTGTCTGTCTCCACCCTCCCCACCCCATCTTCCCAGCCATCTGTCGCCGCACCGCTGCCCAGGGTTATGAGAATTTCTACTTTCCCTTGGTGGAGGAGAACCGGCTCCGCTGCATCACCAAATGCAGGTCGGGAGTGGATGGCGCCATCAATTGTAACCAGGGCCAGTGCTTTCTAGAGAAGAGCCGGTGAGGCCCGCCCACGAGCGGGAGTTTCGCCCACAGCCCTCTGGGTCTACCATTTGGCCTCGCCCAACCAGGCCCCCAGACCCTCTAAGCCACGCCTACTCGCCATCAGGTGGAGTCCCGCCCACCTGCTAGCGCCTGCAGGGTAAATGTGCTGAATGACCCTGCCAGGGAGGTGGTGAGGGTCTGTGACCTGTGGCTGCCTCCTCCAGCTGCTTCGCTACGAACACGTATTGGTTCCTGGGCTCGCGCTGCGAGGTGACTGTTTCCTGGAAGGCGCTGGTTGGGGGCCTAGCGGGGGCCACGGTCCTGCTGCTGCTGCTGCTGCTGCTGCTGATGATGATGATGGCGGCATTCGGCGTCTTCATGGTGGGTCCCCGAAGGAGGCGCGGCCAAGGTGAAGACTGGTGAGCGCTCTGAGGGTGGGGGTGAGAGTGGTAAAGGGGTCTCAGATGGCACAGCCCTGCCGTGACCACATGCGCCTTGATTCAGGTCCGGGGACACGAAATGGTTCCTAATGTGAGATGAGGACTCTGTGGGGACTTTTACAAACCTGGGCTTCCAGGACGACAGCACAGGTGAATCCTTCCCCTTGGGGGAGGGGGCAGGAGTTTCCCTGGGCACCACTGCGGCCTGGACAGGACCTGAATATCTCCCTTGCTCAGGGCAGACGTATACCTCCTACTAGGGAGCTTAGCTCGCTGCTTGCCCAGTCCTTGCTTGGAAGATCCAATGCCCTACACAGGCCGCTCCAGCAGGGCAAGCACAGAGGCATAGGTGCCACCTGGACCCTGCATAACTCACGTTTCCTTCCCTCCCCATTTCCCCTTCCTCTTTTCTGTCTCTCTAGTCACAGAGGAAAACTTCCATGCGTCCTTGGAGAACGTGCCCACCAATATAAGGGTGAGGGGGCAAAGGGAGGACAGATGGTAAGGAGCTCTCCTAGGTCCAGCTCTGCACACCCTATTCCTACAGGGGCTGAGCTAGGACCAGGAGGCAGAGACCTCCCAGCCAGTCTGAGCAAGGTGGCTCCCTGTTCTAACTCCCTCTCTCACGCACTCTGGGGCAGGTACACACCCAGAGACCTGAGGTGATCTTGTCCTCGATGTGAGCCCTGCACTACCCCTCTGCACTGTTCCAGAGAGCAGGAAGGAACCACCTACATACTGAGTCCATTTCCAGAGATGGTCCAGGTCTCATGCAGCTCAGTGTCCTGGTTTCCTCCGGCAAAATGAGAATGTCCTCTGACACCTGTCTTTCTCCCACCTTGGGTGAAAGCTACCTGGAGACTAAGTTCAGATCCAGGCTCCACTGTCGGGCCTTGGGCAAGTCAGTAACTTCTCTGAACCTGTAAAGTTAGTATAGCATACTTGTTCTGAAGCCTTGCACAGTTACGAAAGCCAGAAGTGCTCAGTCAGTTCTCTGTCCCAATGTACCTTCCTGTGTCAGCCCCCTGCTTAGACGCCTTTCTTCAGATCCTCAGTCCCCATGTCCTTGTCTGGGTCTCAGGCCTTAGTCTCCATTTTCCTGTGAGCATCCCTATTGCCTGTCCCTCAGCCTACACTTGTAGCCAGCCCGAAGCCCATCCCAGCCTCCTTCCATCCCTGTATAACTTCCTGCCATGCCCCTTGCTCCCGTTTCGCAAATCATCTCCCCCTCTGAACCCACTTCTTAAATCACTCCTCCCCCACATCCAGCCCCCAGCCCTAGTCTCCTCCAGGACCATGCACCCCCTTTCACCATCCTTGTACCTTCAGCCCTAGGTCCTTACTCTCCACCCCAGTGCCCCAATCTGATGTCCTCCTTCCTCCCCCACACCCTTGTCCCTAGATGGTACAGATGCCCTTGCCATCTTAGGACCCTGCAGTTGTATTCCCCAGGCTCTGGTCCCCTATTCTGAGGCTCCATCCCTTCCTCTCCTCCTAGGGATCTTGGATCCCCATGGGTGGGGCATTGGGACATGGGTTTCCCCAAGTCCTCAAGGGTGAGGGCAAGTGGGCCCCTGAGGGGAAGGTCCCTCAATCCCCTCCTCCTCATTTCCCTCATTCTTGCTCCCCTCCTTTACTGCCTCATCCCCCTTTTACCTCCTCCCCAGCTCCTCCTCCTCTCCCTCTTCCTGCTCCCACCCCTGTCCCTGCAGTAACCTCTGAGGCCAGAAGCCCCCAGCCTCCTGAGCAGGAAAGTCTCTTTGGGGGCAGGAAGCCTACGAGTCTCCAATTCTCCCATGGAACACAATATAACACTTATTATAAAAGAAGCTGCTCTGTGTCTTTCTCCTTCTTGCTTCCTGGGGCCTCCACGTGGTTGGGGAACAGGGACATCTGGAGGAGATGCGTTATAAGAGAGCCTGGGAAAGCTAGTTTCTGGGGGGCCCCTTGTCTTAGGGAGTGGGAAACCCCTCCATCAGCAGCACATGGGGCCTGGTTGGGTTTGTTATCTGTACTCTTCCCTTCTTGACCTCAGGAGCTTAGGGCTGAGTCAGGGAGGTGGGTAGCCAGACTGGGTGAGCTGCTATTTGTGCTGATGGGTAAGCTGGGCCTCCCAAAAGATCTTGAATTTTGAGACTCCCTAACCCTGGGTGGCAGACACACTCATACCAGGACCTGCCATGCCCGGGGCTTGGGCCCTTCTGCCCCCCCTATTGTGGGCAGCCAGGTCTGCTGAACTGGACCTGAGGGTGGTCAGAGCTGACAGTGCATGGTTCTTTGAGTGAGGGTTTGGAAAATGTTCCTGGGACCTTTTCCCAGGACAGTCAAGGGGCTGGCCGTGGCCAGGGATGGCAGTAGGGAACATAAAGCCTCCGGTGTGAATGGAGCCCCACCCAGGAGAGGGACTGGTGGCTGGAGGCTCTGGGAAGGTTGGCACTACTTTGAAAGGGGCCAGCTTGAGGTGGGTGATGGGGAAGGAAGGCTGGAGGAGAGGGGCCTCTCAGGGGTTGGGGTGGAGGGTTTTCACTTAGCCTGGCCTGCTGCTGGCTGCTCCTGCCAGGGTTTGTCTCCCGCTCCCTCATAGTCACCTCTCCCTGGCATTTCTTGGCTCCTGACTGTTGGTAACCATCACACACTCATAGCTCTGGCTTCCCGCTCCTCTCTCTGGCCCTGCCCCACCTGCGACTCTGGCTTCCTGGCAAGACTCTGGCTCTGGGTAGTCAGCTTTCCAGCAGTTAGAGGGGAGGAGGGTTGACAAGCTGCTCTTTGTCCAACTTTTGTGGTCACTAGGTACCACCCACCCAGCCCCATTACTGCACCTCCACCCGGGGCCAGGCACTGTCTTTCCCCAAGGCAAAGGTCCCCAGGGTCCTTTTTATAGGTGTCTCCTCCCTGGGAGGTACTCATTTCTTGGTCCCTCCTGACAGGCAAAGGTTCTGCAGCCAGGGCTCTGCTCTCTGGGAGATGCTGGTAATTTTGCATCTTGCTATTGGCTCTCTGGCTCTGAGCACTCACCACTGCCACGGCACCTGATGAGTGAGACCCACCCTGGCCCAGAGCTGGGGAGAGGTGGTCCCTGCATGTGCTGGCCTCAGGCAGGGCTACAGCAAGTGGCTGCTGGCTTTTCTACTTCTGTCCTCCCTCCCTCCCTTGGCAGGGCATAGGGCTTAGGGCTTCCAAAGGGCTGGACACCTTTGGGAGTGCTAAAGTGGTCACCCTAGAGACCTGTGGGTACAGAGGAAGAGGCGTGGCCTATGGTTGTAGAGTTGATGGCCAGCACCAAGCATCTGGCCCAGGGGCTGAGTTGGGGCTTAAATCTACTCCCTCTGCCCTCCAGGCTTCCCCTGGGAGAAGAGTGACTTTTTCTTTACCTAGACAGTGGTCTCTGCCTGCCTCATTCTGGGGGCTGCTTCTGCCCAGAAGGCCAGGTCTTTCTGACCTCACAGGCACTCAGTGTCCAGGCTGTGAACCCTGGCTGGGGAGGAAAGGAGTCCGCAGGCATCTGGCAGCTTCCCTGCTTGCTTGGGGAGAGTGTCAGGGGCCCCTGGGAGAGGCCCCTCTAATTGGAAATGGCTGAAGGGCTGAGGGGGAGACAGGCTCTGGGCCCCTTGTTGGACCTTGTCAGGGCCATTTGTCTGGGAAGTGGCAGACTACAAGCTGATTTCCTGTGGGTTCTCTCATGCAGAACAGACTCTCTGGATTCCCCAGAGACAGGGAAGAGCTCTGGGGAGGTGGTGGGCAGGGCAGACACTGGGGCCAGGGTCTATGGGGGATCAAGCCCAGGGCCTCAGGTAGAAGAGGCAGCTCTTGAGTCGAAGAAGCTGCAGGGTGTGCAGGGAGGGATGGCAAGTAGGCGGGAGTGTCTGCAGGAGGGAACCAGGCCCTCAGAGTCCACCTCTGCCTGCCGTGTGCTGACGTACCTCCTTCTCCCTCACCCAGACATGCTGCGCAGCAGTGGCTCAGGCCAGGAGGGGCTAAGGGAAGAAAAGCAAGGGCTGTGGGTGTATAAAGCGTGTGGCTTTAGGGACATTATAAGAATACATTAATTACCGCTTTATTAGCTTTGAAATAATAAACAGAGTATAGGAAGCTATGGTGGGGCCTGGGTGGGGATGTCAACCTTAGGAGGGGTCCTACCTGTGCCCACTTCCCGGGCAGACTCTGGGCCTCACTCTGGACTTCCCAGCTGTCTGAGAAGAGGGATGGTGGCGGTGATGATGACGATGGTGAAGGGCTCAATAGTCAGCAAGAGCATGTATGTACTCGGGCTATGTAATGCATAGCCCAGCTGTGCATTAAGAGAGAGCCACCCTCAGAAGCAGAGGCTCCTATTCCTAAGGCATTGACACAGGTGAAGCCATTAGCATGCAGGAATTAAAAGCCATCTATCTATGATAAGTGCAGAGAGCTGTCAGGGGTGCGGAGGCTGGGCAAACAGGGTCATTCCAAGGGGACACCAGAAAGTCTGATGATACCTGGAGGCCAGCTGCCCTCATTCACAGAGGCTCTGCTATTTACAAAGCCATTTCAGTGCCTGTTTGACTCTCACAAGGGAAACTGTGTAGGCAAGTGAAGGCAGATAGGAAAATGAGGCTCAGAGAGGGTGTGGCCTACCTGGGGCCACACAGCAAATAATTAACATGTTGTTACCCATTTAACACTAGGTTTGTGCTGCTCCATCCCGCGCTGAAGGACCTCAGCCCTCTGCAACACTCCCACTGCCTGAATGTGTTCTGGGTCTCCAGGGAGGGGTTCAGATGTTGGGTCAGAGACCACCAGTGGCATCTGTAGTTTTCTTTGTTTCTAATCTGCACCCTCCTCTGGGTAGTCCAGTTCACCGTGAGGACTGATGAGGTTTTGCACAAGTAAACAGTGAGGAGCAGGAATGCCAGTTTGAGAAGGTAGGAAACACATGCATGGCTAAGCAGGGGAGCTGAGGGGTGGGAGTGCCTGGAAGGTAAGGGGATGT